CCCGGACTCAGACGCTATGGCTTCACCCTCAGCTTCCGACGTCGACCAATATCCGGAGTTCCAGATTAGCACTGATTCTCAGATTCCATTCGCGAATCACATCGCCCGGCCTTTCAAGTTGTCCGTCGCGGCAAAAAGCCGTAGCAATCTTGCCTAGCAGGCATCACGTAAAAAGAGCCGATCATCCCCGTAGCCGAGGGCTGGGCTCACTGGTGTTCCGGCGCAGAGAGGTCGACGCGCTTTGGACGCGTTGCCACGCTCCAGCCTGCCAGAATCGGAAGCTAGGGAAGGAGCCAACAAAAAAAGCAGTCTGGGGCTCCGCGCTTCTTGTGAGTAGATGTCGATCTGATCAGCCTCGACATCCTTGAGGGTAGTTGGCTTCCTCTGCTTGATGGCCTGGTTGGGCAAAAGTCGGGACATGAGCAAAAGGAAGCATGCCGAGGAAGGGTCTGTCTTCAAGTCCTCCACATCATTAAGCTGCGCATCCTGAGTCCAAGAGGCCATCAGCTCCACATAATCATGACGTGGTAATGGTGCGTCGACGACGGCCATCCTCGAAAACGCTATCCAGCCACCCTTGACCTAGCGAAATTGCTGACGGCTGTTTCGGCTTGAAGGGATACATGTTTTAGAAAAGACTTCAACAAAGTGGCAATTCCATGCATTCTAGGTGTAAAGCATGGGAGCCAAGGAAAACCAGCGCTTGAACTTCAGACGCATTCAAGCAGGCGCAAGCAACTGATGGGCAGGACACAATCATGCATCACAGCATCGCAGCACACAGGAGAACTTTGACCTCCTTTGGCATTTCAAGCCCGGACCCGATTTGTGAAGTGAGCAGCCTGACCCGCTCGCCGTTGCGAGATGAAAGATAGAAAGAACAAAAGAAGACGGGGGGAAGGCACAAACCGCAAGGCTGTGCTCTTCATAGACTCAAAGTTGAAGAGGGGCAGGGCTGGCACAACTAAGGACGCCTCTGTGAAACTGCTTTTGACCAGCGCTGGCATCTGTTGCTGGTCCTGTACCCGTTGCGTGCCCCGCTTGACTTGAAGACTTGAACGCCGTAGCCTGCTCAAGGAATGTGAGCGTTGAACTGCTGACTGCTAATCCTGGAAGTCAAGCAAAGCCGCA